GAAGAGGGATGTCAAAAAACATGGGTTGATGGATTTAAAAATAATGGGATACAGAGCTGTTCCATATGAACTGGGAAAGAACCTGGAACAAAACAGATCAGCCTTCTTCTCAGGGACTGAGGGGACTGGCAGGCACAGCACCCCTGACACCATGCCGTCCCTCGCCCCATCTTCCATCCATTGCCAAACCTCGGTGCCTCACCTGCCAATCATTTATCACAGCAGCTACTTCTCGCCAGTCCCACTGCCAGTACCCCAGGCAGAGCCATTCTCATCTTTTGACTGGATGACTCCAAACACTCTCTAGCCAGCCCTATATTCTGCTAGCCGGCCCCCTCACTTGCCCCTCACAAATTCATTCTCCACGCTGTGGCCAGAGTCATCTTTATAACACACAAGTCAGATTATTCTTGAGCCCCTCCAATCAGTTCTCAGCGTGATTACAATACAGTCCAAATTCCTTTGCAGGACATACATGGCCCTACAAGGTACGACCTCTGTTTCAACTCTCACCTCCCTTGTCCTCAGACTCTGTACTCATCCATTATGAACTTCTTTTGCTCCCTGAGTGGGTCACACCTCTCTTGCCTCTTGGCCATTGCATAAGATACTCCCACTTCCTGTCCTTTCTCTTCTCCCCTCCAGGCCCCTGTCCCCTCCCTTCCAGCAGTTTGACTCCCGCTTAACTTAGCTGTCACCCTTTCTGGCAAGGTTTCTCTGAACACTCTCAGACTGGATTCACTTTTCATTTTCTGTCTGTCCTTAGAATCCTGTTCACACCCCCATCATAGGACTTTCATACTCTCCTGTAATTGTTTGTCTATCAGAATCACTTATGTGACTGATTCTTTAGGGCAGAAACATATCACTCATCATTGAATCTGAGCATTTCACAGGGATTTGGCACAGAGCAGGTGTTCAGTTAAAAAAAACACACCCCCATCATAGGACTTTCATACTCTCCTGTAATTGTTTGTCTATCAGAATCACTTATTTGACTGATTCTTTAGGGCAGAAACATATCACTCATCATTGAATCTGAGCATTTCACAGGGATTTGGCACAGAGCAGGTGTTCAGTTAAAAAAAATTTTTGGGGGGCTGGGACAGATGCCTATTTGGCACAACCCTAAGAAAAGAAAAGAAAAAGTTGTACAAAGGTAATAAGCAATGTTGGTGAACTATTAGTGAAAATAGAATCACATTTTTTCTGTACATTTGTTTATGTAACTCTGCTCCATAAGTGTCTTTTAACATGTGATTTTCCAAAGTTACTGTGTTTGGTTGTTCCGAAGGATTGGATTGATCAATTATTTGTTTATTAATATGTGAGTAGACAGACCAGTACATCCCGATCTCATTCTCTGCAAGCCAGGACTTGAAGAAAGCTGGTTGTTTGGTCCTGAGGAGTAAAGCACGCATGGGGCTGAGACCTTGGCTCTGGAGTCAGGGATGTCCGGGTTGAGTCCTGCCATAAGATTTACTGACCATGTGACCTGGTGCAATGAACTAATGTTTCTAAAGTCTTTAACAGGGTGTCGGGTACATAATAAGAGCTCAACAGCTGGTAGCAATAATGATTAATGTTATATTCATCACAAAAATTAATACTAATTTTATCATTATCCTGCCCTAATATTGTTAGACGATGACTAAAGCATCACCAGGGGGTTTGTACACTATGTGCAGGAAAAGTAACCAAGAAAAACCAGCCCTATGAGGTCATCAGGAAGACCTAATGCTCCTCATTGGACAGACAAGAAAAACCCACACTCAGCAGGGCAGGGAGACCTGCTCCTAGTCACGTAGCTCGGCAGGGCAGAGCCGGGACTCAAGCCGGAATGGCTGATTCCAAAGCCAGTTCTCTTTCCACTACACTGCACGGCCTCTGGCGTTAGCATTTCCGAGTCCCACAGGCTTCCAAATTTCTAAGATCAAATAGGACTTTTGGATTCCAAATATCCCCGCTGGGACTGCCTGTTCCCCTCTCCCCATTCATAGGTGCTTCAGCCTGTGGGCCCCTGGGGCACTCCGCCCAGGCCTCAGCACTCCTGGATGTGGCTGCCCTCTCCAGGCTGTCCTCTCTGCCAAGGGGACTGACCAGCTCCCACAGAGGTCAAAGTGTCCTTTGCTTCTGTGTCTCCTCCAGGACTGGGCAGAGAGTGCTATCTAGCCCTTGCACTCCAGAAGCCCAGAGACCCCAGGGCTTTTACTCTCAGTAGATGTGTTCCATGGAAACTGAACTCACCACTTGAGCAAACATCAGCGTGCACCAAATCTCTGCAGTCTGGTTCTCAGTGTGAACTGCAAAAGCAGATAACACGTACGGTTCTCAAAAAGTCATAGATTGCTCAAGCTCAATAGGACCTGAAGCCTCAGCTAGTCTGAACTATTTATTTCACAGAGGAGGCAATCTGGACATACACATGGGCAGGAACAAATGTCCCGGCTTTGGTGGCAGTGCTTGTGAGATCTCTCCTGGGTCCCGTGCCATCACATGCATGTACATCTTTCTGGAGCATTGTCATAATTGGGTACCCCTTACAGAGACCAACTGCCTCAGACATAGAAACCCACTCAGGACATTTACCTTTACTACAGGGAGCCATTTTTGACACAGGCCATTGTTAGTGACCAGGAACACCTCCTAAAGATGGGATGGCTTGGGGGGCCTCAGTCCTTTGGGGCTTTGTGTAATAGGAGCCATAAGAAAGGCCATATAGAAGTGTGGACAATTTTAGAGCTGTTTCAAGATGGGGCTCATTACTGGTTCTTCAGTATACAGAGAAATATGCTGGAGAGGAGAGGCATTCTTAGGATCCCTGAGTCAAGTCAAAAGGCCAGAACCAGGAGGGTGGCTATCAGGCATTCAGTTGCAGGGGTTAGTTCTTGAGTGGGATTGGAGAATAAATATTGCCCCAGGCATCTACCCTACCCTTAGCTGAGTGCCTCCCAGTAGGTGGGAGGGAAATCTTAAAGGGACCAAGCTGGAAGCTTTGATGTCTTCAAAAACCTACAGAATATTTATGTCTCAGAATCTCCCAGGAGATCCCAGAACCAGAATTTGCTCCAGTCAGACAGTTAGGGAACACATCTAATGTTCTCTGTTTTCCACAGTCCCCCACCTTCTGGACCTCCACTCCCAGTCCTAAAACAGGGATGGACAACTCGCTACAGCACAGCAGTGGCATGCCAGAGGGCTAACGGAGGTCAGTTCACAGCAGAGGACCATTCAGAGATGATGGAGAGATGTGGATCTGAAGGGGAGCATTACCTTGTGAGCATGTAAATTCCATCCCGTTAAAAGCAGGAGACAGTATTTCTTTATTCTTGCCCCTCAATTATCCTTCTTGTTTCCCAGTACATGAAAGAGACTGGATGTACATGTGATGAACAACTAAGTAAATGAATGGAAGAATAGAGCAAGTAACGAGTAAATAGTATTTCTTTATTCTTGCCCCTCAATTATCCTTCTTGTTTCCCAGTACATGAAAGAGACTGAATGTACATGTGATGAACAACTAAGTAAATGAATGGAAGAATAGAGCAAGTAACGAGTAAATGAAGGAGGAAATCGCTGAACTATCTAGGTTAGAGAATGACTGCTGAAAAACACAGGGGACTGTGACACCTTGACAATGCATGCATAACTTTCATGAATTCCATAATGGAGAGAGCAGTTCATTTGTTTATATAATTCCTACCAATGCAGCATTTCCTCTTCTGTCTTCACTCCCCTGAACTTTGTAAAACAAGAAACTTTTAAATTAACTATTTTATTTTCTGCACGTTTAAAATAATTATTGGTGTTATTTTTTTCACTTCTGTAGCCAGTTGAACATTTGTTCCCAATGAGCTATTTTGCCCTTCAATTCTCTCAGTGTCTTGTCTGTTGTCTCCACCTGGCCTTGTCACCACTATATTCATGAACATGCTGGTAGGAAAGAGGCAAATGGAAGCAAAACAACAGAGTGGTGAAGAGGGGACTTGTAGAGGGTTCTGCAGTCCCGAGTCCTGCATCCACTGCTAACAGTGACTTTGTATATGTCACTCAGCCTCTGGATTATAATGGAACTGACCTTTAAGTATGATTATGAATAATCATGTAAGGAAAGTACTTTGTATCATGTTTATCACACAGTGAATGCTCAATAAATTTTAGTTATTGCTATCATTATATTGAATTGTTATCTATTGTATTACATTGCACCATATTATATAACATCATGTCATATCAATCACATGGCATCATATATAGTAGTAATGTATTGATTGTGGCCCTGTACAACTAGTGTCTGTGGATGTGCTGATCCAAGTCCCATCTCCATAGAGTTCTCTTCCCATCACCTCCTTAATTTTTTTCCCCAGATTCAGACCACCCTTTATTTCTCTCTTATGTACATCATGTGAGTAGAACCCAGTGCTCCTTGAGAAAAAAATATACTAGTTCTTCCTTTGAAACAACATTCAGCTACACCTGTGGCTTGGCTGTCAGGGCCTTCCTCAAATGTGTCCCCCTCCTTCCCATCTAGGAGAGGCCATCTGAGTTCAGAGTCCTGAAGTAAGCCTGTGTTTGAGAAAGGAAAATTGCTTCAAATCTCATTTGTTGACCTGACTTTCACCCTTCCCCTCCAGCATTCCAAACTCCCACTCACATCAACAAGCTGGGTTTTAAAGTTGGTTGGAATTGTGAAAGCTTAAGGTTATTACAGCTCAAAGATAGGGCCAAAGCTGAGTTTGACAGCTGGTTTACTCCCTGCACTGAGGAAGTCAAGGCCAGGGAAGTGTCAGGGAAAGGCTAGCGTTTTCTAGTAGCCTTGGTAGCGTTTTCTTGGTAGCCTTATTCTAGGGAAGAGATGTGGAGCTGAAGACATAGTATCCAATTAAGAAAATAAGGTAGATCGACTCACACAACTCTGCTTAACCCTATGGCAAGCACTGTTGATTGATTTATCCTCTACTCTTTATCTTCTTCTTTAGACCATAGCATTTTCATTTTCTAGGGTGTGGCAACACACTCAAGGAAGAGAGAACCTTTCCCCCAGCCTGGGAGAATGAAGCATAATTGGCTTACACCAATTGTGCCAATCCCATATTCCCCTTTTGCCATGATTGATTTGGGAGTGGGCAAGTGACCCAGTTCTGACCAATGAGATGAAAGGGGCAGCTCTTCTCAGAAGATTTTTGTTTCCTTGTACAAAGAGAAACAGCAAATTTCTTCCTCCTTGACTTGAAGACAATCATGGGAGAACATGGTACTTGGAGCTACGGCAACCACTTTGTGACCATGAGGCAATAAGCCCAAGGACAAAGGAAAGAGAACATGGAGTCTTTGATGATATCATTGAACTGTGGGCCCAACCTGGAACCATCTTCTTTTAGACTTTCATGATTTATGAGATGATTAAAAATTTCTATTTTTTCAGCCACTGTTTCTTTTCTGTTACTTGCAACCAAAGACATCATATGCGATACAAACACTACTCAACTTGTGTTGTAATTTATCTATTTTCATGTCTGTGAGTTCTATCTTATTGATTTTTATATTTCTAGCACTGAGGACAAGCCTAGCACTTAGTAAGACTTCAATAAAAGCCTGTTGAAAAAGGTGTTATGGAATAAAAACTTCTGAATTCACTGAAATATGAAGCTCAGGATCCAGTTTTGGATTCTATAAAATTCTTGCTACTCTCACTGCCAGGGGATTCCTCATTTCTGTCTGATTCTATATTTACTGGGACAAAAAAATGATTGAGAAAGATTAAAGACTATAAAAAATGACGAATATAGCAACACTGTTGAGAAATATCTCTTGAGAATTCCCAGAAATTCCCATTAGCCACATTTAGACCTACCTCTCTGGTGATCAATGTTTCTGAACCCAAATTAGTGTACATAAGCAGTGGACTATTTAAAGAGGTACTGGCCTAGAAAATCTAGGACATGTGTTTTATGCATTTCACATATCTTACCTACCAGGAACTTTATTATGCATTGGGGATGTAGAGATGACAACCACACAGTCCGTATCCTTGAAAAGCTCACAGTGACAAAACCGTGTTAATGGCCTAAATAGTGGTATTTAGAAGTTTCATAGCCAGTCCTCTTAGCATACCACAATGATATCACTGAGTTAGGAAAACCAAATTCCTAGGCATGTATCTTTGATAAAGTGGTGTCCGTGAATACTTCTCAAACTTGGTCCTCTCCAGATGAGTTTGTCTGGGGAGGTGACTTTCTACTCTCATCACCCAAGTTCCTCAACACTTATCCCATATTGCTTGGAGGCACCCCTTGCCCAGAGAGCACCGTCTGCATGGCTTGCCCAGCTATTTAAAGGGGGAATCAAGGGCCGGCTCGGTGGCGCACTGCTACAGTGTGCCGCTTGGGAAGCGCGGCGGCGCTCCCGCCGAGG